TGAGGGGGAAAATGAAATAAAAGAAAGCAAAAGCAAAAAAACCTCAGTTTGAAAGAAGTCAAAAAATGAGGAGAGTAGGAATATAAGTAAAATCAGGAAAAATTGAAATAAAAAATAACGATGGTATAAATAAAAATATATCAGAGATTACAATAAATAGAGATGGACTAAACTCTTTAGTTAAATGACAAAGTTTGTCAGACTAGATTAAAAACAAAATCCCATATGCCATATGTATACATGGTACACACCTAAAATAAAGACAGAGAAACATCAGAAGTTGTATGGAAAGCATAAAAAAATATGAATTGAAAATTGATCCAAAGAAAGATTGTATTATTTTCTATATCAGAAATAAGTTTTTTAAAAAAGCATTAGTAGAGACAAGGATCAACTGCTTAGCAGTTTACAGCATATATTCTCTAGTAAAACTATCTTTGTTCAAATTTTGACTCAGTTGCTTACAAGCTGTGTAACCTGGATAAATTTCTTAATCTGAATCTCAGTGTGTCTAACTCTAAACGATAAATATGACATATAAAGTCATACATGCAATGTTAAAGACTTAATGTGTTCAATACATAGCAGCTATTGATATTATTATCAGCATGTCCTTTTAAACCAGGAAAAATATAAGGATACTTGCTATCAACCCTATTGTTTAGCATTCTGGAAATGCTTTGCTGTTGTTAGGTGCCATCAAGTTGGTTCCAACTCATAGCAACCCTGTCCACCACAGAACAAAACACTGCCCAGTCCTGCACCATGCTCACCTTCGTTGTTGTGCTTGAGCCCATTGTTGTAGCCACTGTGTTAATCCATCTCGTTGAGGGTCTTCCTCTTTTTCCCTGACTCTGTACTTTACCAAGCATGATGTCCTTCTCCAGGGACTGATCTCTCCTGACAACATGTCCAAAGTATGTAAACTGTAGTCTAGCCATCCTTCTAGGGAGCATTCTGGTTGTACTTCTTCCAAGACAGATTTGTTTGTTCTTTTGGCAGTCCATGGTATATTCAATATTCTTTGCCAACACCACAATTCAAAGGTGTCAATTCTTTCTCGATCTTCATTATTAATTGTCCAGCTTTTGCATGCATATGATTCGATTGAAAATACCATGACTTGAGTCAGTGCACCTTAGTCTTCAAGGCGACACTTTTTGCTTTTCAACACTTTAAAGAGATCTTTTGCAGAAGATTTGCCCAATGCGATGTCTCTTGATTTCCTGACTGCTGCTTCCATGGCTGTTGATTGTGGATCCAAGTAAAATGAAATCCTTGACAACTTCAATCTTTTCTCTGTTTTATCATGATGGTGCCTACTGGTCCAGTTGTGAGGATTTTTGTTTTCTTTATGTTGAGGTGTAATCCATACTGAAGGCTGTGGTCTTTGATCTTCACCAGTAAGTGCTTCAAGTCCTCTTCACCTTCAGCAAGCAAGTTTGTGTCATCTGCATATAGCAGGTTGTTAATGAGTCTTCCTCCAATCCTGATGCCCCTTTCTTCTTCATATAGTCCAGCTTCTTGGATTATTTGCTCATCATACAGATTGAACAGGTGTGGTGAAAGGATGCAACCCTGGTGCACAAATTTCCTGACTTTAAACCACGCTGTATCCCCTTGTTCTGTCTGAACAACTGCCTCTTGATCTGTGTACAGGTTCCTCATGAGCAGAATTAAGTGTTCTGGAATTCCCATTCTTTGCAATGTTATCCATAATTTGTTATGATCCACACAATCAAATGCTTTTGCATAGTCAGTAAAATACAAGTAAACATCTTTCTGGTATTCTCTACTTTCAGCCAGAATCCATCTGACATCAGCAATGATATCCCTGGTTCCACGTCCTCTTCTGAGTCCGGCCTGAATTTCTGGGAGTTCCCTGTTCACATACTGCTGCAGCAGCTTTTGAATGATCTTCAGCAAAATTTTACTTGTGTGTGATATTAATGATATTGTTTGATAATTTCCACCTTTGGTTGGATCACTTTTCTCGGGAATAGCCATAAATATGGATATCTTCCAGTCGTTGGCCAGGTAGCTGTCTTCCAAACTTCTTGGCGTAGACAAGTGAGCACTTCCAGTGCTGCATCTGTTTGTTGAAACATTTCAACTGATATTCCTTCAATTCCTGGAGCCTTGTTTTTTTCCAATGCCTTCAGTGCAGCTTGGACTTCTTCCTTCAGTACCATCGGTCCTGATCATATGTTACCTCTTGAAATGGTTGAAAGTCGACCAATTCTTTTTGGTATAATGACTCTGTGTATTCCTTCCATCTTCTTCTGATGTTTCCTGTATCGTTTAATATTTTCCCATAGAATCCTTCACTATTGCATCTCAAGGCTTGAATTTTTTCTTCAGTTCTTTCAGCTTGAGGAATGCCTAGCGTGTTCTTCCCTTTGGTTTTCTAACTCCAGCTCTTTGCACATGTCATTATAATACTTTACTTTGTCTTCTTGAGCCGCCCTTTGAAAGCTTCTGTTCAATTCTTTTACTTCATCATTTCATCCTTTCGTCTTAGCTACTTGACATTGAAAAGCAAGTTTCAGAGTCTCTTCTGACATCCATTTTGGTCTTTTCTTTCTCTCCTGTCTTTTTAATGACCTCTTGCTTTCTTCACGTATGATGTCCTTGATGTCATTCCATAACTCATCTGGTCTTCAGTTATTAGTGTTCAACGTGCCGTATCTATTCTTGAGATGATCTCTAAATTCAGGTGGGATATACTCAAGGTCACATTTTGGCTCTCTGGACTTATTCTAATTTTCTTCAGTTCAGCTTGAACTTGCATATGAGCAATTGATGGTCTGTTCCGCAGTCAGCCCCTGGCCTTGTTCTGACTGATGATATTGAGCTTCTCCATTGTCTCTTTCCACAGATATAGTCAGTTTGATTCCTGTGTATTCCATCTGGCAAGGTCCATGTGTATAGTCACTGTTTATGTTGGTGAAGAAAGGTATTTGCAATGAAGAAGTCATCGATCTTGCAAAATTCTCTCATGCTATCTCCAGCATCATTTTTATCACCAAGGCCATATTTTCCAACTACCAATCCTTCTTTGTTTCCAGCTTTCGCATTCCAATCACCAGTAATTATCGATGCATCCTGATTGCATGTTTGATCAATTTCAGAATGAAGATGTTGGTAAAAATCTTCTATTTCTTCATCTTTGGCCTTAGTGGTTGGTGCATAAATTTGAATAATAATCATATTAACTGGTCTTCCTTGTAGGTGTATGGATATTATCCTATCATTGACAGCATTGTACTTCAGGATAGATCTTGAAATGTTCTTTTTGATGATGAATGCAATGCCATTCCTCTTCAAGTTGTCATTCCCAGCATAGTAGACCATACGGTTGTCCGATTCAAAGTGGCCAATACTAGTCCATTTCAGCTCACTAATGCCTAGGATATCGATGTTTATGCGTTTCATTTCATTTTTGATAATTTCCAATTTTTCTGGATTCATACCTCGTACATTCCACATTCTGATTATTAATGGATGTTTGCAGCTATTTCTTCTCATTTTGAGTCGTGCCACATCAGCAAATGTAGGTCTTGAAAGCTTGACTTCATCCACATCATTAAGGTCCACTCTATTTTAAGGAGGCTCTTCCCTAGTTGTCTTTTGAGTGCTTTCCAAACTGGGGGGCTCATCTTCCAGCACTATATCAGACAATGTACTGCTGCTATTCATAAGGTTTTCACTGGCTAATTTTTTTCAGCAGTAGGCTGCTGGGTCCTTCTTCCTAGTCTGTCTTAGTCTGGAAGCTCAGATGAAACCTGTCAACATGGGTGGTCCTGCTGGTATCTGAGTACCAGTGGCATAGCTTCTGACATCCCAGCAACAAGCAAGCCCCCACAGTACGACAAACTGACAGACACGTGGGCGTCTGGAAATGCTGGCAAACACAAATGGTCAAGAAAACTAAATCTCAGGTATGCATAATGTAAGAGGGAGGGGAAAAATAACATTATTACATGTAATATAATTGTCCTGTTTGGAAAAAGAATAAACTGAAGGTAGATATCATATTGGAGCAAAATTTAAAACACAGTATCAACCAATATTATAAAAGACTTATGGGGAAAAAAAAACACTTAAAAGTTTACTAGGTCCTTATGAAAAAACTACAGGCTTAGTGAGCACTATCTTTGAAAATATATGAAGGTTTGATACATCAGGTTGGACTCCTTGAGATTGTTAAGATATCATATCCCCTCCAAATGTATCTGTAAATTTCGTATGATTTAATTCCACATCACTATGAATTCTATCAAGGTAAAATTATCACAAATTTTGAAGGAGCCCTTGTGGTGCAGTGATTAAGCTCTCTGCTGCTAACCAAAAGTCAGCAGTTCAAACCCACCAGCCACTCTGTGGAAGAAAGATGTCTGCTCCTGTAAAGATTACAGTCTTAGAAACTGAAGGAGAAAATATGTTAATCATCTTTATAAACGAGGAAAAAGTATTTGATAACATTTTATTCAAAAGGATTGATATGTATGCGATTAACCACTGGATGTTCATAACTGATAGCAGCAAGAAATGGAAAAAAATTTAAATATAAGAAATAAAGAATGATGTTTAAATAAATTTTATAGATTTAAACTCTGGATTACAAATCAGTCAGTAAAGATTATGATGTAGTCAAATATTTATTGATATGCAGTTTATGATATATTTCTAAATGAAAAACCATATGCATTCTTAACATTAGTACAATGACGATCATAATGCCCTCTTTATATACTTAAAAATTACATGTACATAGACATAGATCAAAGAGTAGAAAGACTTAAATAGTAGTTATTTGTGTAGAATGAAATTGTTACCTTTTTTTGGTTCCTACCTATGAGTGTGTTTTTTCCATGTTTGTTAAGTGACCTGCATTGAGTTTACATTATTTTTAATGTCAAATTTTAAATGTTACCAAAAAAAACCCCACAAGAATGATAACTTATAATTATTTTACATTTTAATCCCTTGGGATTCAGAATATCCCTGGTTTAAAGTCTTCTCTCTCATGACAGCCATTAGTGTGATAAGCCTCATTTTCTACCTTATATTTGGTGAAGCAGAAATCCAGGAGTGGGCTCTAGAAAGACAACATACACGCCTCTAAAGGTGAGAAGTGATGAGATTAAGGGCCATTTTGAAGGCAGAGCTCAGAGTCTTTGGGGAAGTGGATGCAGAAGTTGAGGATGACCCCCTGAGCAAACTGTGATGTTGCTGACTGAGATAGGGAAGAATAAAGGGTATAGATCAGGGAACCAGGTTAAGTCTGAAACAGACAATCTGGATAGGGATGGCAAGCAGTTTGGAGGATGTACTAGTTTGAAATGCTAAGTAAATGGTGGAGTTGGAGATATAAATTTGAGAACCTGGCTCTCTAATGTCCTTGGGTGGTGCAAGTGTTTTGTGCTGGACTACTAACCAAAAGATTGGTGATTCAAAACCACCAAGCAATCCAATACATGGGATTGCCATGAGTTGGGGTCGACTTGACGGGCAATGGGTTTGGGTTTTGGTTTGGAGGCTGTCTAACATTTACAGGTGAGGAAGATAGAGAGAGTTTGCAAGGGAAACCAGGAAGGGCCCTCAATGAGCTAGGTAGAACAATTGGAGAATGTAGTGTCTCAGATGTGAAGTGAGAAAAGGGTTTTAAGAAGGTGAGAGTGAAAATCTGTGGCAAATGCTGCCAATGGGCCAAATTATATAAGCTCAGAGAATTTACTAATGGGTTGACAAGGGGTACCTTAAAACTGACCCTGATAAGAATGGTTTTCAATTGAATGATGGAAACAGGCATCCATTAAAGTGAGTTTAAAAGAGAATCTGATCTAGTGCCTTTCTTATATAAATTGTTGCTGTCATTAGTTGCTGTGGAATCAATTCCAACTCATGGTGATCTCCACGTGCACAGAGTAGAGCTGCTCCATAGGATTTTCAAGGCTGTGACATTTCCTAGGCACCTCTGGGTGGGTTCAAACCTTTCTCTCCACTACTATGGATGAAATCTAGGTTCCTACCCAGGGCCAACGCCTTCCCTGGTGCCTGTATTTCATCCCCTCTGAATAACTCAAGTACTTTACTATTGCACTTGTGCCTTCTCTCCTGCATCATTAAACCTTACTATTGAATGATGCCAGTAACATAGAAATATGCTATTACGTCTATCTTACAAAACAAACAAGAAAAAAAAACCTCCCTAATCTCATATTTTTCTACAGCTACCACACCATTTCTCTGCTCTCCTTTATTGGGTTATTCTTGCTGTCTCTATTTCCTCAGCTCACATTCTCCTTTTTCCTTAATTTTTTACTGTAAAACAAAACATAGATACAGAGAACTGCATAAAACAAATGTATGCCTTACAGAATTATTATAAAGCAAACACTCTATTAATCACCACCCTAGACATAAAAGTTAGAATATTGCCAGCATCCCAGAAGTTCTCCATGTGGTCCCAAGCAATCACTATCCTTCCCTCCCCCTAAAAGTAGTGACTATCCTGACATTTATAGTAATCTCCTCTGTACAGTTCTTTATGGATCTCTGAGTAGTGTAAACGGTTAATGTGCTAGGCTGCTAACCTAAAGGCTGGAAGTGCACCCAAAGTTGCCTAGGAAGAAAGGCCTGGGAATCTACTTCTGAAATATCAGCCATTGAAAACCCTATGGAGCACAGTTCTACTCTGACACACATGGGGTCACTATGAGTCAGAACTGACACGACAGTAACTGATATAAGGGTTAGTTTTGCCAATTTCGGAATTTTTGGTGTGTCTTTTAAGTTTCTCTTTATCTTAGGCTTCCCCTGTAAAATCTCTCACAGTTTGGAAACAGTAGCTCTGTTCAGGGTCTTGACCAGATTTGGTTTACTTTACTTAGTGAAAGAGAGTCAAGGAGTGGAACATGGGCTTTAGCAGTTGCTACACTCTGATGTGCAGAAACATATTTACATATGTTTATGTAGTCAGGTCTCTCAGCATTTCACTTCATGGTGTGTGTCTTAGTTATCTAGTGCTGCTGTAACAGAAATACCACAAGTGGATAGCTTTAACAAAGAGAAATTTATTCTCTCACAGTTTTGGAGGCTAGAAGTCCAAATTCAGGGTGCCAGCTCTAGGGAAAGGCTTTCTGTCTCCACAGGTTCTGGGGGAAGGTCCTTGTCATCAGTCTTCACCTGGTCTAGGAGCTTCTCAGTGCAACCTCGGTCCACAGGACACACTCTGCTCCCAGTGCTGCTTTTTTGGTTGGGTGAGGTCCCATGTCTCTCTACGGGCTTCTCTCTTTTATATCTCAAAGAGATTGACTCAAGATACAGCATAATCTTGTAGATTGAGTCCTGCCTGATTAACATAACTGCCTCTAATCCTGCCTCATTAACATCTTAGAGATAGGATTGACAACACATAGGAAAATCACATCAGATGACAAAATGGTGGACAATCACACAATGCTAGGAATCATAGCCTAGCCAAGTTGACACACATTTTGGGGGGACACAATTCAATCCATAACAGTGTGTCTTCATGATCATCATTGCTGTTGGGAGAATCATGTTTCTCTATAAGGATTTGTGGGTTGTGTTATTTATACGGAGTTCCTGGTTGGTGCAAACAGTTATGTGCTTGGAAGAAAGGCTTAACACTCTTATTCTGAAAAATTAGCCATTGAAAATCCTATGGAGCACAGTTCTATTCTGATACACACCAAATCACCATGAGTCTGAGTCAATTGATAGCAACTTCTTGTTTTTAAGGGGTATCTGTTGTACTGGGATAAGAATATTCAGTAGTTTATGCAATGAGGGTATAAAAACTTGGGTGGTTAGAAGTTTTGCAGATTAGAAGATATAATTCTGTGATCTTAATTAAAAACAATTTTTTGTATGTTATATTTTATTGAAAGAACTTGGAGAGTTCAAGGCCTGTGGATGGTGTGAGGCCGGTAGTGGCCCCTGGCATGCCCAGCTGGGGTCTTCTCGAAGTTGGGTTGTTTCAGAATGCAGCCCAAAGTGGGTGGTAAACTCCATCTAAAGCTAAATACCGGCACGAGACTAATAATCAACAAGTACTAAAGGAAAGTTGAAAAGAAATGTTTTATTGATATAGATGGATTTTATTGAATCAGTATATTTAGGTGAATGTATATGAGTCTGTAAGGAGAAGCAGACTGTACAGTTCTGCTGCTCTTTGAAAGAAAGAGAAAATTGGGGGAGTTCTGTAGTGGTTTGTGTGAAGACAGAATGCAACCACTTGCAAGTGGCCTTGGTCACTTCAGAGGCCTATTACTTCTCCCTCTGACGATCACAGCCATATGGCCTCTTGGCAGGAAGGTACTGTGACAGCAGAGTTTAATCTCTTGCAGGTTTTCATAAATAGGCTGTGTCAGCCTATTAGAGAAGTTGGTGGTTTTGCCAGCTTTGAGTTGTGAGCTTATCCAGTGGAAAGGATAGAAAGAAGTACAGGTCCATATAGATGTTTCCTTCTAGACAATTCATGGTTTCTTTTTATTGTCTTTGGTTAATCGAGAATAGACTTTTATTGAATGAGTTAAGTTCTTGTTGCTGCTGTTAGCTACCATAGAGCTGGCCCCCAACTCATGGCAACAACAGGACAAAACATTGCCTGGTCCTTCGCCATTCCCATGGTTGGTTTCAGATCTGACTGTTGTTATCCATTGGGTTTTCATTGGCTGATTTTTGGAAGTAGATTCAAAGTCTTTCTTCCTAGTCCATCTTAGTCTGGAAGCTCTGCTGAAACCTGTTCACCATCATAGAAAAACACAAGCCTCCACTGACAGACAGGTGTTGACTGTGCATGAGGTGTGTTAGATAGGAATCAAATTCGGTCTCCCACCTAGAAGCCTAGAATTCTGCCACTGAACCACCTCTGCCCTAAATGAGTTAAGTACAGATTTGAAATTTATTTTCTATGTGATTAAAAAGTTTTACTAACAATTTTTTTAAAAATTCACTTTTCTCCCCCTCGTTTACAATTTCAACTTTTAATAAAATAAACTGCTATGTATTTATGTCTATTTCTGGGCCTAATATTAAGTTTGATATCTGTTGTTACTGGGGCCTGATACAGAATATATTGATTGAATGTATTAAATTATTTTTAATTAATTGTTTAATTAAAAATTTAATATATGTTAATACCAGGCAGGCTGAACAACCCATATATATTTTTTTATTTTTGAAAATGTTATTGTCTAATATTAGCTATTAGTTCTTCCAGTAAAAAAAAAAATATATATATATATATATATAATTCAGGCCATTTTTAAAAAGGCCAATTGCAGTGATTTTTGGAGTTGCATTAAATTACACTAAGTCTACGTGGGAGAAATTAACATAGCTGTAATGATAGAATCTTACAAGAGCAAAGTCAAGGAAAGAATGAAGGACAATTACAGATTTAAGGAGACTAAAGAGCTGTGACAATTAAATGCAATGTGACATTTTGAACTGGATGCTTTTGCCAAAAAGAACATTACTGGTGCTGTTGGTGAAATATGAACAAGGTTTGAGGATTAGGTAGTAATTAAAGAATTTAATCAAATTAAATCAATATTAGAGAGTTGTTGTTAGGTGCTGTGGAGTTGATTCCAACTCATAGCGACCCTCTCTACACAGAACAAAACACACTGCCTGGTCCTGTTGCATCCTTATAATCGTTGTTATACTTGAGCCTATTGTTGCAGCCACTGTGTCAATCCATCTCATTGAGGTCTTCCTCCATTTCGATGACCCTCTACTTTACCGTAGTAGAGAGTAGAAGACAAAAATAGAATTGCATTTTGATTACAACCCTTAAGTCATGCTTGTTTAACTCACTGGTTATAATTTGAATAATTGTCCATCTAAGTATTTGGTAAGCATCTGATTGAATAGGTTAATAAAGCCCAGAGCTGTGGACCTGGAAGAAGGTGGAGAAGTTCTTTCTGTGCTGATCTAGGTTACTGCTACTTATGCAGGCAGGAGGCAGAAGTTCAGAGGGGGGCAGGATGGAGAGATCACTGCAAAATTTTTATCCTCGTTATAAAGCCTGTCTCCATCTCCACTTTCCTGAGTCTTTTGCTTTCATACTGTCCTGAATGGTTATACAGCCATATGACTGGTTCTTGAATACATCCTGCACAAATATCTGTAAAGTGCTCGCACATCTCACTTTGGAATTTCATATCGATTGTGTCTTGCCACCTACACCTACATTGCAGTTTCCCATGCAATGTTGTCTTTCACCCTGTTACAGAACTATTCATCATAAATTTCTATGAGGGATTTTGCCAAATAGAGGCCATCCCAGAAAGGAGGAGAACTAGAGATGCTTCTCTTCCTTCAGATGGGCTGTGTGCATTTACAGCACTGACATTTTGGTGAGAGATGTCAAATTTTCTCTCAGCAGCTGGTGAAATCCTCATCGTTGTTTCATAGCACTTTATCTTCCTTCTTGGGATAAAATACACCATGATTGCCTACATTAAAGAAATTCTTATATTCAGCTAACACACAAAAACACATCTGGGGTACTTACATCAAAACTAAACCCTTTGCCATCGAGTTGATTCTGACTCATGTGTTATAGAGTAGAACTTGGCTTGGATTTTCTTGGCTGTAATCTTTATGGAAGTAGATGGCCAGGCTTTTCTCCTGTGATGCTCCTGGGTGGGTTCTAACTGCCAACCTTTAGGTTAGTGGCTGAGAGAAAACCATTTCTGCTACCCAGAGACCTGGGGCTCTTATAAACAGTCATTAAAAACCCAAAACCAAACCAATTGTTGTCAAGTCGATTCTGACTCGTGACGACCCCATGTGTGCAGAGTAGAACTGCTCCATAGGGTTTTCAAGGCTGTGATCTTTCATAAGCAGATCACCAGGCCTGTCCTCTGAGGTGCCTCTGGGTGGGTTCAAACTGCCAATCTTTTGGCTGGTGGTTGAGTTCTTAATCTTGTGTCACCCAGAACTCTTAAAGACAGTCATTAGGCAATGTTTTTGCATGGAAAACCCAGAAAATGTCTATTTTTATGAACATATTTTAATAATCAATAAAACTTCAAATAAAAAATACAGTTTTTCACTACAAAGGAAAGATAATATGTCTTCATTGCATCCCACTTATGACCCTGAATTAACACCCCAGCTTAATACCTTCCCTTTCTTTGGTTTTGGAGAATATGATGACATCAGATGAGCTAATCTGGGTACCTAATAACCAGTAAAGCCAGGTGCCAAATTGGTTTACAAAGAATGGAAATTTTATAACAGTACAAAAAGAGTGTCTTCTTATTGCTGTAGATCAATGTATTCTTATTAGAGATAGGAGCAATATCAAACTTACCTGGGTTCCAAACCATACAGGTGTGCACAGTGTTTTTGGGTTTTCTTTTTAGGATACGGCATAGATATAAAGAAAATGAAGCATGGCTTCATACCATGTGCCTACAATACCAGTTGTCGTGGAGTCAATTCTGACTTATGTTGACCTCATGTGTGTCAGAGTAGAACTGTGCTCCACAGACTTTTCAATGGCTAATTTTTCAAAGTAGATCACCAGGGCTTTCTTCCAAGGAGCTCTGGGCAGACTAGAACCTCCAATCTTTCAGTTAGCAGCTGAACACGTTAACTGTTTGTACCACCCAGGGGCTCCACCATGTGCCTGTACCTAGCAAAATGTTGGAATTGGTGAAAGCTCTTACACATAGACTTGTGAGGGTAGGGAAGAGATAGGGTGATAAAATTGCACCAGATAGTTACATTTATTTTTGTGTCAAGAGGGAAGAAGTGTAACAAATTTTTAGAATAACCTATCTATGAGGCAAAGAAGACGTCTTGAAATATATATATACTAAACCAGCTTATTTATTCCTCTGAATTGTTAAAAAGCTTTCTTATGTCCTCTGGGTACGAGGGCACACTAGTGACATTTGTATGCACTCTTTTTCTTTCTCTACAAAATTTAGTGCAAAACAGAGGGCTCAGAGAACCCGGGATGGACCTCTTTATTGATGGGAAGTGGGCCCAACCCACAAGTCTGGAGCTGAGAGGTGTCACCAGCACAAGGAAGAAGATGGTGCAAGGATTCCTACTGGCCACTTCTACTCCCTTTCACCCTGTGTACATCTCTTTTCTAACAAGTATTTTTTGTAAGATATAACATGCAACATGTCTGAATTTTAAATATGGGTTTATTTAATCTCTCTCTTCCTCTCTGCATTGGGTGCTTTATAAATGATTATTAAATAAACCAATAAGCAAGCATGAGATAACATTTTATTCTGAGACTTCTGGAAAGATCTTTTTTGTATTTTCATCTTTTACTCTTCGGTGTTGTACATGTGTGGGCCAGTAGAAAATCTTAAAAGATTTCTGTACTTTGAGGACATCCAGTTTGGGAGGAGACTGGACAAGTCAGCTACCTCTTTAGTGGGCCCAGGGAGAAATCAAGCTTACTTTCAGAAAGAACTAAAAGTGACAGATTGAAAAGCAATAAAATGGTCCAGGGAAGGAAAGGAGATGAAATGCAAACATGGCATGGTTCAGAAACAAGCGAGAGATCCTGTTCCCTGATGAGCAAACACCTTGTCACTAGTAAGAGCCTGGGTTTGGCTCTGTGATTGCTAGAGAAAGGGAATGGGGGCAAACCTAATCTTTCAATATCTTAATATTAGACGAGAAAAGCAGTCCATAGGTTTAGAAGATTCTACACTCTCACAAACAAAGGGAATTAAAAGAAAATTGGGTCAAAATAGGGTTCTTTCTCTTCCCACAGGCTAACTGGCCTCCCTCACCATTCCATTCCTTCCCCTACCAGCGCCATTTCATTCATTGATTCATACGGTGATTCAACAAGCTTTTATTGGCACTTACTGTGTACAAAACAGTGTATTTGTGTTAAAGATGTTACAAAATAATATGCCATGGTTCTTGAATTTTTGAAGTTTACAATCAGACTGAGTGGAGGAAACTCAATAAATGAAACAAGTGACGAACAATGTGAGGTTTTCCAGGTCCTCTAAGGTAGGTCACCACATGCCTGGCACCCCTCCAGGCCATCTTTGCCACATTGTCCTCCTCTTCTCTGACATGAGCACTTCAGGTCTTTTCCTTACCCCACAAACTGCCAGTCCCTACCACAATTCCAAGTAAAATCACTCGGCAGGGCCTCCCTGACTTCTCACTAGCATACATGGATGTTCACGTTAACCATCCAGTGAAAAGGCAGGAGCTCCCCTCACTCCATCTCTCACCACCTGTGATGGTTAATTTTACGAGTCAGCTTGGCTAGGCTGTGGTGCCCAGATGTTTGGTCAAATGCCAGTCTAGAAGCTCCTGTGAAAGAATTTAGATATGACTAACGTTTTTGAGTTGGAATTTACTCGACAGCAATGGGTTTGGTTTGGTTTAACATTTACAACAATCAGGTGACTCAAAGTATAGCAGATTACCTTCCATAATGGGGGTGGGCCGCAGTCAATCAGTTGAAGGCCCTGAGTGCAAAAACTGAAGTTTCCCAAAGAGAGAATTATGCCTGAAGACATAAATATCCTGCTGGACTTTTCAGTCCACCTGGCCTACAACTTTCTGACTCAAGACTGCTGGAGTTTCCAGCCTGCTGACTGACCTACGCATTTCAGTTTTGCCAGCCCCCAAAATCACATTAGACAAGCAGAAGAAGGGCAGTCAAGATGAGAGCGACAGCATGAACAAATATTTGCGGGGATAGGAGAGAACATGGACCATGTGCTTTTAGTAAGATGCAAGATTTCAGCACAGATCCACAAACCAGATGCTGGGCAGAGGCCAATATGGCCAGAGTGAAGGCAACCTTATAATAGTGGACTCCAGGAAGTGCTTGATCTCTACATCTATTAGGGAGGCAACTCTGATTCCAAAACTAGGAGCCAGAGAAAGGATGTTGTTACATAGTCGAAGTCTATCATGTTTTCCCCACATTAGTTATAAGACGTTCACTCCTCCTGTTAAAATGAATTCTGTCTTACTGTCCTTTCTTCCTTGATGTTTCAACAGGCATCCTGCCTACACCAAACATCCCAATGGCCCTGTATCCCTCCTCACTTCTGAGAGCGAATTTGTCTGTTTTCACCACTAGGCCCATGAAATTGGGTTGTGTACATTATGGTGTCTATGGTATCGGTCCTTTTATGTCAGCTGTCAGGGTTCATTTTCTGGGTGTTTGGACACAACTTCCCTTATGATTCTCAGTTTTCACTCCCATAGTTCTGGCTTCTTCTTTTCCTTTGGTGAGAAATTGTCCTCCAAATCCTGATGCTTTTACCAGGATAACAGTGGAAAAAGTGGAGAACATGAAGAAAGTCAGACACACCTATTCCTTCAGGAGCTTACAGTTAAGTAACTAGCCTTTTACATCCTGGTAAAATCTCCAGGCAGAATCTTCACTGTTACAATAGCCAAGGACTCTGAGAAGACACAGGAAACAAGGTCAATTTAAATTAAATGTCTAATCAGTCACGCAGGCTCTAAGGGGAACATCTGTGAGGGGAAGCAAGAAACAAGTGATCGTCTAGGCCTAATACATCACTTGGTTCGCACAGAAGTGCAATTACTTGTCTACTCTTTAGCCCAGTCCTGGACGTCTGCTTGGCTGAAGATGAGGTAGACAATCAGGCCCAATATGTTAATGGCAGCCGAAAGCAAGAAGACATTTCTCCAACCCAACTCTGAATCCTGGAAGCAGGAAAATAGAAGTCATTAGCTGCCACCCAGTTCTTGCCCCTTATGGCTCAGAAAGGCTCTCCCTTCCCCAACTCTGCTCCAGTCTCCAAGGACTTTCTGGTTTGTTCCTGGATATGCCAGGCACATTTGTGCCTTTGGCTGTTATTGCACTGGCTATTCCTTCTGCTGGAAAACTCTTCACTAGGATATCCACTTCCTTCCAGTCTTTGCTTATGTGTTATTTTTTTCAGTGGGATTTTCTTTAACTTCCCTATTTAAAACTGAAACTCCATCAGCCTTTTATGTACCCTATTTCCTTTTCATTTTTATTATTCTCTTAGCACTCACCACAAACCAATATGCCATATATTTTACTTGTTTCATTTGGTTTTTGTTGGTTTCCTTCTTATTGGCTTCATGAAGGCAAGAACTTTGGTTTGTTTTATTCCCTTGAACTATGCTTGGCACATGCTAATGTATGATACATATTTGTTGAATTAATAAATGGATAGATGAATAAATGAGAGGGGCGATAATATAAGTTTGAGAATTTCCGTATAAACAACTATTTCCTGACAGAGTGTTAGTCAGTGGTTGGAAAAGGATCGAAGTTTCAAAAAAGAGAAGGCACTTGATATCCTAAAGATGACCCTTTCTATGTTATTTCCCCTTCATTTTCCTGACTTAAAACCACTGTTACCCAGTCAGTTCAGACTCATAGCGACCCTATAGGACAGAGTAGAACTGCCCCATAGGGTTTCCAATGCTGTAATCTTTACGGAAGCTGACTGCTACATCTTTTTCCCCACAGAGTAGCTAGTGGGTTCCAACAGCTGACTTTTTGGTTAGAAGCCACACACTTTAAGGACTGTGCAACCAGGGTTCCCTTTTCCTAACTTACTGGTGGAAAATCACAGAAAATTTAAAGAATGATATTCATGTGAGTGTCATACATACCTTTCTATGTGTAATATCTATATGAATAAGATTCTTATTTACAGTTCAAACCATCAGCTGGTTTTTTGTTTATAATTAGCAACCTGGTAGTGCAGCAGTTAAAGTGATTGATTGCTAACCAAAACGTTGGTGGTTGGAAATCACCAGCAGCTCCATGGGATAAAGATGTGGCAGTCTGCTTCTGTAGAGACGTACAGCCTTGGAAAACTTATGGGATTGCTATGAGTTGAAATCGACTCAATGGCAGTGGGTTGTTTTTTGTTGTTTTTTTTTTTTTTAGGTGTAGCTTCTAGGATGGATGGAGGAGCCCTGGTGCACAGCAGTTAAGTGATACTCCTGGTAACCAAAATGTCAGCAGTTCAAAACCACCAGCCACTCCTTGGAAACCCTATGGGGCAGTTCTACTCTGTCCTCTAGGGTTACTATGGGTTGGAATCGACTGGCCGGCAACAGTTTTCTAAGATGGAAGGCTCTATGAATGTAAAAACACCAGCAAGTCATACTGGTCAGAGAAGTCTCGGTAGTAACAATTCATGAATGTAAATGTGAGGTGCAGGTTGCTACTTCACTCTGTCATTCACCCAGTATCTCATTCATTCATTCTTTTAATATTTCTTGGGTTCCTATGAAGGGTGACCAAGTTGAACCATTTTGCTCAATACTGTCAAGGTTTTAGCATTGATAGTGTTACATCCCAGGAAGCCCCTCAGTGTAGGGTAAACCAGGATGGTTATCCACTCTGTTCTATAAGAGAAATTCCAGGATGATTGTTAGAAAACATCATGCTTACCATGAGAGGTTCATCTTACAATAACTCAGAAAACATAATCTCATACAATTGAGCATTCCTCCTCTCTCTGCACTGTAAGCATGAGTGACTTCTCCTGGGTGACCTCTATAGATCTTACATATATACTTTGAGTTTTTTCTTAAGAATATTTTCTTCAGAATTATGACCTCACCTGACTGATGAAAAATCCAGTAGTGGTGGGAGAGATGGCTCCAGCTGTATGTGCAAAGACTTGTGAGAGTCCCCTGAGAAAGCTAGTGTATCTGAGACAGAAAGAATAGAGAGACATTTTCCTGTGAGCAAAGGGTTCATCTCAGCTGACTGTAGAAGCTCTGTGCTTATTGCTTGGGAAGCCTGGAGTTATGCTGACCCTTGAGAAAAAACGAAATGGATGGACTGAGTAGCTATTAACATAATCCTGTGCTAAGGTGTCAGACTTCCAAGGGGCATTCTGTACTAACTCGTCAACTTTATTCATAGAAAATAAACAGATTAATGGTTTGAACCTAATTTATATGTTCACTTGGTTTCTGCTATTGAGCCTGATCTTGCAGCTTAGTTTTGGGCACAAAAGACCCTCAATGAATGAGACAATGGCTCCCCTGATATCTCCCAGACATCTTGGCAGTTCACTATCTGAAGATGAAGTGTGTTCTGTGTAACTGAATGGACTAGGGAGCTACATGTAGACTCTCAATCATCCGTGATCATCACCTATACTTTCTTTCTTCTCCTGTAAAGGATCCTTTACCTTATTGAAGCCTTGCATGAGCACACTCTGTGGAGTCTCATGAGTCCCGTCAATTATACAGCACTGTAACTGCTGCATTCCTCAACAGAGAGATTTGTAGTAGTCCCCCCCCTGTTGAGCTGTGATCATGGCACTGAGATGTTATAAGGAACTGACCACACTTATTTTCACCTGGAGAAACGAAGTTTACAATGTTTGACCAGATTAGGTCCCTCCCAGTAATTATTTGGATGTTGGGCTGGTATTGACATTTCCTGTGATCTGTTGCACATGTCACACCTTATCTGTGTGTCAGAGCAGGTGTGATGGTTAAGGTTGTCCGTCAATTTGGCTGGACCACCATCCTCAGTGGTTTGGCAGTTATGATGTAGTTTGGCCACTTTTTAATGATGTAATTGCCTCCATAATGAGATCTGATATAATGTGATCACCTCCATGATGAGATCTGTTGTGAGTAGCCAATCAGTTGAAAGGGAATTTCCTCAGGGGTTTGGGCTGCATCCATTACAGGTAGACTTTCTGGCAAGGCTAGCTGGCTGCTGCTAATTCTGGATCCTGCAGCTGGCTCCTGTTTATCTGATTGCCAGTTCTTGGGACTTGAATAGCAGCGTATCTGCCATCTTACCTGCTGATCTTGGGATTTGTTGACCACCACAGCCTGTGAGCCAGAGACCTGCCATCTGACCTTCTGATCTTGGGTTCACCAGCACCTATGGCTACATGAGTCAGGAGAAGCTTCCATCCTGACCCATGGACTTGGGACTGTCCAGCCTTTACAACCACGTGACCCATTTCCTTTATATAAATCTATCTAGATACATATATATATTTATACACTGCACTGGTTTTGCTTCTCTAGAGAACCCAGCCTAAGACAGCAGGTTTAGGGCTTCTCGAACTAAACTGGACTTCTGTGAGAATGAAGCAGAGGGGTCCCTACCGAGGAGCAATATCCAAGATGTTAACAAAGGCTCCTGAGAAGCAAAAGCCGGTGATGGCAGGAGACAGCATCAAGAAGGCCACACTGGTGCTGGTGCTGGATCTGACCCAGTACAGGGACATGTTGAGCAGGGATGGGAGGAGAACTCCTGGGAGGAGGACAGACACAGAGTAAACAGGTGGCTTCTCTGAGCATTCCATGTCCACACTTGTAACTGGCTAGCTTCTTACCTACGGCAGTGAAGAGTTTTCTTATGGTGATAAGCTTGAGAATTTTTCTGGAAAGGAGATAATCTGCCAACAGACCTCCAAGGATTGTACAGATGAAGCCAGGTATAAGTGGTAGGGCAGACAGGATCCCACTCTGAGGATCAGAGATGAGGTGAAGTGCAGGCCCTCACCACCCACCCACCATGACCCAGATTGATGCCAGTACCAATTGTCCACATGTATGACTTTTCTCTATATACTTATCATTATTCATACAAATCTTTGTTATTGGATTAAGTCAATATAATTTTAGTGCCTGGAGTAATATATGCATATAACTCACTTTGCAGAAAAGGACTAGTGCACTTTTCGTATATAGAGATCACCTGGAAATAGATATTAAAAAGACCAAAAACAAGTAAAAAATAGACAAAGGATATGGACAGACAATTTAAGTGGTTACTAAATATATTAAATAGCATTCAACCTTACTTTTCTATTATAATATAAAAAACTCATTGATTAATAACAGGAATGCAAAATAAAACTACAGTGAGATGTCATTTTTCATGGAACAAGTAAGCAAAATTCCAAATGTTTTCAGCATGCTCTGGGGTGTGGTTATAGGGAAAAGGGTCCTCTCAATAATTTTTAGAGCCTAAGGAAGGTATTAAGGTTTGAATTGTATCTCTCAAACAGATATGTGGAAGACCTGACCCCTGTGCTTGTAAATATGACTCTGATTTGAAATAGGGTGTTTCTTTTGTTATGCAAAAGAGGTCATACCAAGGAAGGTAGATCCCAAACCTAATCCCTTCTCAGTGAAGTCTTATAAAATGAGAAAATAGACATGGAGAGACACACACAGGGGAAGACAGATGCTAGTGAAGGTATGGGTACAAGCAGCCAAGGACATCATCACACCCAGGAGGAGTACAGAGAAGGAAAGACCTTCCCATGGAACCAATGCCCTGATTTGGACTTCTAGCCTCCAAAACTGTGATAAAATCTGTTCGCTTCTTTAATGTTACCCACTTATGGTATTTTTTTTGTCATGGCAGGACTAAGTAACTAAGACAAAGGGCAATTTGTTAATATATAAAAAGTTCATACTGTATATACCCTTTGACTTACCAACCTGATATGCAGAACTTTACAGAAATAGTTTCACAAATGCAAAATGACAAATGAACAAGATTTTCATGAAAGCATTGCTCAAAAGAATAGAAACAACTAAAATATCACTCAGTTAGCAAGTTCTTATGTACTGATATGAAACATCTCCAATGTATTTTAAGTGGCAAAAACCAGTATATGAAATGAAGCAGCATATACAGCATACAATGTTTTGTGTAAAATAAGTTGAGTAAATAAGAATATGCATTCACATTCACATATGCTATCATTTTCAAAAAGAAATAATGTAAGAATAAATTAAAAAATTAATAAAAATAGTTATGGGTTGACTAGGTTCAGAGATCACGGCAAATTGGGAACAGGAGTGGGAGTAAGAATTTTCAATCTACCTTTTATATAGTCTAAAAATGCTGAAGCCTCTTAATAGATTAGGTTCCTGGGTGGCACAAATGATTTGCCCTCAGTTACTAATCTAATGGTTGGTGGTTTGAACCTACCTAGCAGTGCCACAGAAGAAAGGCCTGGTGATCTGCTTCCATAAAGATTACAGCCAAGAAGACTCTATGGAGCAGTTCTACTCTCAAACACGGGGGTTGCAATGAGTCGAATGGTCAGAATGGCAGCAGGTTGATATTATTCATTAGTATGATAGATCAGCAATTCAAACTCTCAATTAAAATTCTATTGAAGAAAATGCAAGTCAAATTCTAGTCTCAATGGAAAGGAGACCATCCACTGTTGCATAGAATCCAAACAATGCAAAGGGTTTTGCTATCACCTGGTCCAAGCTGTTCATTTCACAGATGAGTAAACCAAGGCCATCGACTGTGTGACTCAATGCAGAAATACCAGGGGAGCAATGGGAGTCCATGCCTCTTGACTTCCCTGCATTAGGCCCTCTACCATCTGGTTCCACCTTGTCTTTCCACTCATACCCCATCTGCCCTTCCTCACCCTTGGCCTCTGAAGGTGGGAAGCCCTCCAGACCTCACACCAGAAGCAAATCATTCCCAACAGCCAGCCTCATGATGTCTATCTCTCAGCCTTGACTTCCTGCTTTTCTGGACCTCTTGTCCCCTGATTCTCAGGCTTGTTTATGGTTTCATTGCCTGCTTCATTCAGGCTATCTTCCTCCTTTGAGAAGACCCATAGCTACTCCTTTCTTGGGCTTTCTTACCTCAGTACTTCCTTACCCTGCCTGCTTGTATCCCAATCCTGCCTGCTCAACAGACACTGACCACTATGAGGTCGGCTCTCTTTTGGCCACTTACCACCTTGTCTCCAAAACAGCACAGTCAATATGAGAAAGCTATCTTTTGAGTACAAATGGTGAGAGTGTAACAGTGATTTGATGACCTTGTTAATTGTCACTAATGGGCCATGGTGTCCTACTGCACTCTTCTCCACTTTGTGACATACACCTCCCAGGAATTAAAAGGTTCCTCTAAGACAATTAGAGTATCTGTTCAATTGTGAAAATTCAGAGAACTGTATATATGTGTACACTTTTCTCTTTATATTTATTATACTTGAAAACAATGTTAAATTTTAACTACCAATTTAAGTATGCATCCTAATTGATTCTTGATGTCTTGTTAATAATGTCTTATTCAGCATATCTTGTTTAAGCTTCTTTGTCACAGGCTTCTGAAAGGTAGAATTTGTTTTGTAAACCCATTACTGCATATGTTACCAGCAGAGTGTCTCATTTAACAAATATTGAATAGATTGAACATAAAATTTTACATAGGTCCCTTAAAAAGATGGCATTCTATCAATACAAATACGACCTTGAACCCATACCATCCTTCTCCAATAAGCAGCAAATCACATTGAGATCAATAAGAATTTAAGCTAACTCAGTTGCATTACTCACATGAGGGTCCTTGGGCCCAAGCCCTTGATATTGTGACCATGGAAAAGACACCGTATTACATCATGAAACATTCAAGCAGAAGAACACAAGGACCTTTCTCTGTACTTACATCTCTGAGGTTAGCTTGAAGTACAGAGTTGATGTATGTTGGTCTGTACACAGTCACAACATAAAAAGTCCAGTACTGACAGAAAGAATAGACTAAAATGGCCCAAAGTGGTAGGGATTTGATCATAGCCTTAATGGGAAGAGACCAGCTTGGTGAACAATCCTGGAAGAAAGCACATATCAATATCCAGACCATCAGAGTCAGGAGTCTCCACTGCATTCTGCACATCAGAGACATCCAGGCAGACATAGTGGGAAATGGCAGGGGAGTTCCTCAATGTACCTTTTGGGCCAGTGCACACATGATGTATTCCTTCTCACCAGTGCTGATAAAGGGATGATTCATGGGGTCATCATAAACGAGAGGGAACCAGAGAAGACAGCAGACACAGCCAATTCCACCTAGAAATCGAGGATCCAGTGAGCACTACATTAAGTTCTTTCATTTTGACTCTGCCCAGAGATGCTTGACAGAATGACTGGCCCCAAGTCTCTGCTCCTGCCTGCATATACACACTTCAATTGCCCTATCATTCTTGGAGGGTACTTTCCCATCTCTTGACTTTGGACTTAGCCATGTGACTTGCTTTTGATAATAACATAGAACCACTAGGAGCCTAGAACTTGTGTGTGTGTTTTCTTTGTCCTTCTTCATGGCTATTTGAATGAGAAGAACATACTCTAGTTAACCCACTGTTCAAGGAAGATAAGAAGCACAGATTGCAGGGCTGCCCAGATATCCCACAGAACTATGACAATAAATGATTGTTGTTTTGCACCACTGAGTTCTGGGAAGTTTAGAAATGCACCATTATTAAGGCTATAGCTAACTCTTACAAGTTCTTGCTGCCCTAACTGTCTAAGGACCAGTTAACATCTTGCCTTCTAGCCATGCTTTCTTCTTTAAATCTTTCCATTATGCTCTCCTACCTGATTAAAAGCCCCTAAGAGTTAGCAGCTCATTATTACGTGCAACTGACTACCCAGAAAACTTCAAGACAGGAGTCTTGAAGTTAATCTTCAGCAAAGAAATTTCCTCTGATATACACAGTATTAAAGTGATGAGAAACTCAACTTTATTAGAATTGGGTGAAAATATTGCTGATTTTAACATTTCCATTTTAGGATCTTGAGAAAGTATAAAAATTTCTCAGTCTCGGTTGTTGGCTTGCTTTTCACACATTTATTCATAAATGTCACTGAGCAGTCACCATAAACAAGGCATTATGCTACATTTTGAAAATATAAGGCTACAAAGACACAATTTTGCCACCAATGAATTTATATCTAAGAAGGGAAGAATAGGTACAAAAAATTAGCAATGCCACACTTTGGAGTTGAAGGATTTTAATACTCATTCAACAAATATTTAGTGATTTCTTACTATGTGTATGCTGCTTACAGTTTCTTAAAACCATAAGCACAGTAAGCATCATTCAGTGCTTGAATACTATTTGTCATGTGTCCTTTTGAAGTTTCTGTGGCTAGTCCTTGAAGGACGATGTGCTGTAGTAATCAAATTTTGCACTTTTTTTTTTCTGGGGAGTATGTTGACCTCGTGTTATAAGAATGCTGGATATAAGAGAACTAGTCACTAATGAAAACATTAGGGGGACTTACTCTAAGGAATCAGGCAATTTGCAGATGGGATTTCAAACAGAAAGTTTTTAAATCAAACAAACACAAACCAGAGCTGAGAGCAACTGGGAGGATTCCAACTAGGGCTGGATAAAGATAAGATTGTGCATAGTAGAATATTGCTGCAGGAACACTTCCTGTGTCTTTTGGAAAATTTCTGTAGCATCTCTGGGTATTATGCTCACTCCTGAGTCTTACATGGGCCTGCACTATCCTGCAGCTTCTACTGATTTATTCTCCACATCCTACAATCGGTATTTTGCCTCAGATTAGGTCACATTCCTACAATATTCTGGTTATTGTAATAATTGGAGAAATTGAAAGAAGGTATTACATGAATGAACATGATTTAAAATATAATCCCTCCAAGATAACATTTTCTACATCTTAAGAAAGAAATTGTTCTGTGTTCTTATGGGTTCAATTTAGAAGCTGGAAACAGTGTTGTCATGCCCTTAAAATCATAAAATCATGTGTTAGTCTAGCTAAGGCACTCAGGCTACTGAAACATAAATGTCACTTTGTAAGCCAGCAAGATTAATTAGAACAATCACCACACGATTAACTTTGAACATTTTCAACTTTGGTTATATAAATAACCATATCTAGTAGGATTTGGTTAACCATGACTAACTTCCATGAAAGAAAAATCATGCCCAGCATTCTCTGTCATCAAATTAAACTCTGAGATTTGAGAAGCACAACTCACCAAAGATATAGAAGATATAAGGCCATCCTATGGTCTGGCAGAGGAGACCACCAACAGCAAAGACAATGAAGGATCCCAGCATTATCCCTGAACACAAGATGTGAGCATCTTCTAGGTGAGACATCCAGGTTTTGGACACTGTGTGCTTCCTACTGACTGACCCTTTAACAAATCTGAGTTGCAGAGTGATTACAAGTATGAGCTTTAATCCAGAATATCTAGGTTCAAATTCTTCTCCTTCATTCAGTAATTGTGTGATCTTAGACAAGTTATTGATCTCTGTGTGTCTCAATTATCTTATGTGCGAAATTGGAATAATTATAGATTGCTGACTAATAAGATTGTTCTGAGGCTATATTGAAATAATAAGGGTAAAGCATATTATGTGTAAACAAATATATGTGTAATATACACATGTGTAAACAAAAGTTTGGTACATAGAAAACATTCAGTTATGACTAAGAAAGACAGTATAATAATGTGGTTTATTGCAAGGCTATGGAGGCAGGGCAGTTGGGGTGCAAGGTTTGGTTTAGCTGATAAGCCAGTGCAGAGTATTCTTGGACAGCACATAGAAGGTAGGGATTAGGGTATCAATTACCTGATGTAGCAATGCTGACGAGTTGACTCCTTTCCATTGGAGGAGCCCATTTTACCCAAAATGAATACTGACCTGTTGTTACCATAACCTGGAAAAAAAAAAAAAAAAGATTCACTGTTGGATGTGTGCATCCATTCTGAAACCACTCATACTTGGAAAACCTCTAGGTACCTGGGCTATGCCTTGGGCAACCCGAATGACAATGAGCAATGTCACTCCAGTATCAGCTGCCAGTGGAATGAAGAGGGTCAGGACTGAGGAAATGAACAATCCAGCACCAACCACGCGCTTGGCTCCAAATATTCCAGCCACGTAACCAGTAGGGAGTGGAGCCAAGAAGGAGGCATAGTTGAGGGAGCTGAGGACAATTCCCTGGATTTCAGGATTCCAGTCATACACAGGGGCCTAAAGGACAAAGAGGATCTCATGTTTGTTTGTCTCTGGTTAGAGCATTGACAGTACTTTTTGTGAGGCCTTAAAGGCAAAAACTCGTGGGAAATTCTTTTCCTTTTATCTCTCTCCAATTCCTCCAATCTATCAATTTCATTTAAAAAACCTTAGTATGTGCCCAACACACTCTTTCTCTTTACCCTGATACAATTAACCAACCATTTAAAATATGAGAGCCTTTACAGAAAGAAAGTCTATAAAGTAGAAAAAAATCATATGCAGTGTAATTAAAAAAAGTAGAAGAAACCTCAGTGCAATGGATCTCTTTTATATGACCTTTCTCACCATGGTCTTGTAACTCCCACCTAAGTGAAGACAGTGGTAACTGTGGCCCACCAGTTTTGTCATCCTGCTAGACTTAAAGGGAGACATGGAGAGAGAGAGAGGAGTGGTAACATGGAAGACAGAGAGAGGCAGCAGAACCAGGACAGAAAAGGAGAGCTGTAACACTGAAGATGGCGAGAAGCAGTGGCAGAGAAACGGTGGCAGCACAGGCAGGAGATGGCATGGTGGGCTCCTTGGTTCACTGAGCAAGAAAGCTGAGCACCTTTGGGCAAGAGGCTTGCTGGCCAAGTAGGGTGCCTCCAGCCACTTGGTGGAGCTAGATTTGCTAACCCATGGAATTTGAGCTGAGCACTTTCCAACCAAGGAAAGTGGGGTGCCTCTGGGCACTTATCAGAAGAGCTAGAAGAGCTTTGTAACACTTGCACGAGCAGTGCAGAGGCCAGGCCAAGGGGCCAAGGGCCAGAGAGAGACCTGTCTGTGGGCACAGCTGAGAAGAGGCTATCCTGATCAAACAACTGTATCCTGAGTCATCCCTGATCCTGAATTGTAACCAGTTACTTCCCTAATAAACCCCATATCTGTAAGTGTGGTCTATGAGTTCTATGCGGCTATGATGGTTGAGACTATGGGTCACCTTGGCTAGGCCATAATTCTCAGTGTTTATATGTGATCATCCCTATGATGGGATCTACTGTGAGTAGCCAATCAGTTGAAAGGAAGTTTCCTGGGGCGTGTAGCCTGCATCTGAATATAAGCGGGCATTCTGGCTTTTGCCCTCTCTGAATCCTGCAGCTGCCTCTTGTTCATCTGATCTCCATTCATGGAATTTGAGCTAGCAGCTTACCTGCCAATTTTGGGATTCATCGATCTTCACAGCCTGTGAGCAAGAGTCCTGCTCTCTGACCTGCCGATCTTGGGTTGGCTAGCCCCTGCAGCTACGTGAATCTATCCTGATCCATGGACTTTGGACATTTCAGCCTCTACAATAGAGTGAGTTGTTTCCTTGATATAAATCTCTCTCTCTATGTGTATATATATATATATGTGTATGTATACATATGCTTTACCTGTTTTGCTTCTCTAGAGAACCCAGCCAAAGACAGTGGTCATTGCAATGAATTACTGAACCCAGCAGAGAAGTAGAAAGTGCCATGGGAGGGATGGTTGGTGTCAGGATTGGTAAAAAGATTGGAGGGCGGAGGTACGTCTGACCTCTGCTCATAGCAATCAGCCTTGGGTTGTTGATCTTGATTCCCCTCCCCCCTTGTGAAGTTAGAGGAGGTCAGATGCCCCTGCCATGCCATTTTTACAGAAACAAAGAGAAAATTTGTGGAAATTTTCATTATCATATGTGTATATACATACAGTAAAACTCGTGAGAGTGAGAACTCTCACATACATACATACATACATATATATATTCCCCACTCAATTTAAAATTTGTTTCTTTTATTCTAACTTAATCCTGGAATACTCTCATAAACACTAAGACTAAGCAAGGATATAATCTCCTTAGATACATATTATGTTCCTTGTGTTATTTCTGGATCATAGTAAATTCTCAATAAATATTTTCTGGTTAAATGAATCACATCTTTTGATAAGATAACCCATTCATTCAAACCGTTTCAGAGAAACATGGAATCCAGAGTATCATTAAACTTACCACTGCCTTAAATTCCTTTAGAGTTTCATTCCAGTAGTCCTGGGAGTCAGTGGGAGGCCTTTCTGTGGAGGCACTGGGATGGCTGGGTGGGATCGTGTGGTTCACCATAGCTGGGATGGCAATGCTTATGTTCATTTGTTGAGTGTAAATTGCAAAATTACAGAGCAGCAAGATGACAGAAAGTCCATGTCGGACTGAGCAAACGCCTGAGACGAGAGGGAACAGAGAGTCTTAGAAAGTTCTTCTCCCACACTCCATCCCTAAGCCCAGAAGTGGGAGGAGATTGGTGTCTGTGATTCAGAAATACAGGGAGAGCAGACTTTGTTTTGTAGGTGTTAGGTGGACACCTGTTCCCCTGCAAAGTGAGGGACAAGGTATCACAAGTAGAAATTTAAGAATGTGTGGAGTAGACCAGAGCAAGCATTAGGAAAGAGTAGGCTAGGTTTGAAAATAAAGCCAAAAAAAGAAAGCCAAACCTGTTGCTGTGGAGTCGATTCCAACTCATAGCGACAGTATAGGACAGAGTGGAACTGCCCCCACGGAGTTTCCAAGGAGCAGTTGGTAGAATCGAACTGCCAACTTTTTGGTTAGCAGCCTGAACTCTTAACCACTGCAGAAGTATGTAAAATTTATCATGATTCTGTAATCTGGGCTTGCACAAAATAGCCAGTATTCATGGCAGCTTTAGGAATTTTCCTGGGGTTAAATCCAGATACCTTAGTTTGACAACATCTGGAAGGGGTTGATAGACTGTCCCTGCAGAGAAAGCTGAGGTAATGTATGGGATCACTGTCCTCAGACATGTGGGGACACAGTTTCCTGACTGCTGCCATGGAGCAAAATCACTGGAAATGTGCGGCACTGTCTCCTATGTACTGTGGCTCTTGCTACATTTCTGGAACTGACAGATCCTCACCTTTGGTTTAACCCTGTGAGCACTTAGTCAACCACACTTCATCCACAAAAATTCACATTGGAATTTTGATCAATACCATAATAAGATAGATTCAAGGGAATGGCCACATTTATAGTATTGCCTCTTCTAAGCCATGAACAGCTATGCTTTCCAATGCATTAAAGTCTTTTTCTCTGTTTCAAGGTGGAATTTTATAGCTATCTTCAGTTAATCTTCACAGTATTTTTTTTTTAATTTTTTTATGATTGTACTTTAGATGAAAGTTTACAGAACAAACCAGCTTTTCGTTAAACAATTAGTACACATATTGTTTCGTGACATTCGCTACCAACCCTATGACAAGTCAACACTTCTTGACCTTGGGTTCCCTATTACCAGCATTCCTGTCCCTTCCTACTTTCTAGTCCTTGCCCCTAGGCTCCTGTGCCCCTTTAGTCTCGTTTTGTCCTATGGGCCTGTCTAATCTTTCACTGAAGTGTGAACCTCAGGAGTAAGCTAAAAGAGTGTCCAGGGGCCATACTCTGGGGGTTTCTCCAGTCTCTGCCAGGTCAGTAAGTCTAGTATTCTTTTGTGAGTTAGAATTTTGTTCTACTTTTTTCTCCAGCTCTGTCTAGGACCCCCTATTGTGATCCCTGTCAGAGCAGTCAGTGATGGTAGCTGGGCACCATCTAGTTATGCTAGACTCAGTCTGGTGGAGGCCATGGTAGTTGTGGTTCATTAGTCCTTTGAACTAATCTTTCCCTTGTGTTTTTGGTTGTCTTCATTCTCGCTTGCTACAGATGGGGTGAGATCAGTGGAGTATCTTAGATGGCCACTCACAGGCTATTAAGATCCCAGATGTTACTTACCAAAGAAGAATGTAGAACATTTTCTTTATAAACTAGGTTGTGCCAATTGAGCTAGATGTTCCCTGAGACCATGGTCCCCACAGCCCTCAGGCCAGTAATTCGGTCCCTCAGGCAGTTTGGAAGAGTCTACGGAGCTTCCATGACCATGCCTTGAACAAGCTGTGCTGGCTTCCCCAGTATTGGTTACTGTCTTACCCTTCACCAAAGTTATCACTTATCTATTGTTTATTTAGTGTTTTTTTATCCCCACCTCTCCCCTCCCTCATAACCATCAGAGATTGTTTCTTTTTGTATGTAAATCTTTTCATGAGTTTTTATAGTAGTGGTCTCATAAAATATCTGTCCTTTTGTGATTGACTTATTTCACTCAGCATTATGCCCTCCAGATTCATTCACGTTGTGAGATGTTTCGAAGATTCATCATTGTTCATTATCATTGCATAGTACTCCATTGTGTTTATGTACCATAGTTTGTTTAATCTGTTGGTGGGCATCTAGGTCTCTTCCATCTTTTGCTATTGTGAACAATGCTGCAATGAACACAGGTGTGCATATGTCTATTCATGTGACAGCTCTTATTTCTCTAGGATATATTCCTAGGAATGGGATTGCTGGACCATATGGTATTTCCATTTCTAGCTTTGTCAGGAAGTGCCATATCATTTTCCAAAATGGTCATATCATTTTGCATTCCCACCACCAGTGCATAAGAGTTCCAGTCTCCCTGCAGCCTCTCCAGTATTTGTTAGTTTCTGTTTTTTTTTTTTCATTCGTGCCAGTAAAGCCGGAGTGACTTGGTATCTCATTGTGGTTTTGATTTGCATTTCTCTAATACCCAGTGATCGCACGCATTTCCTCTTGTGTCTGTTAGTCGCTTGAATGTCTTCTTTGGTGAAGGGATTGTTCATTTCCTTTGCTCATTTTTTAATTGGATTATTTGTCTTTTTGTTATAGAGATGTTAGATTTTCCTGTAGATTTTAGTGATTAGATCTTTGTTGGATTCTTCATAGTCAAAAATTTTTTCCCAGCCTGTAAGTTTTCTTTTCACTCTTTTGGTGAAGTCTTTTGATGAGCATAAGTGTTTAATTTTTAGAAGATCCCAGTTATCTAGCTTATCTTCTGGCGTTTGTGTGTTGTTAGTTATGGTTTGTGTCCTGTTAATGCCGTGTATTAGGGCCTCTAGCGTTGACCCTATTTTTTCTTCTATGATCTTTATAGTTTTTGGTTTTATATTTAGGACTTGGATCCATTTTGAATTAGTTTTTGTGTATGGTGTGAGGTATGGGTCCTGCTTATTTTTTTATAGGTGGACATTCAGTTTTGCCCGCACCATTTGCTAAAAAGACTGTCTGTTCCCCATTTAATGGACTTTGGGCCCTTGTTGAAGATCAGGTGACCGTATGTGGATGCATTTGCATCTAGGTTCTCAATTCTGTTCCATTGGTCAATGTATCTGTTGTTTTATCAGTACCAGGCTGTTTTGACTACCTTAGCTGTATAGCAAGTTCTGAGGTCAGGTAGTGAGAGTTCTCCTACTTTGTTCTTCTTCAGTAGTGCTTTAATTGTCCAGAGCCTCTTCCCTTTCAATATAAAGTTAATGAGTAGTTTTTCCATCTCTTTAAATAATGCTATTGGTATTTGGTTTGGGATTGCATTGCATTTGTAGATTGCCTTGGGTAGAATTGACATTTTCACAATGTTGAACTACCTATTCATGAGCATAGTATGTTCTTCCATTTATGTAGATCTCTTTTGGTTTCTTGCAGCAGTGTTTTGTGGTTTTCTTTGCATAGGTCTTTGACATCTGTGGTTAGATTTACTCCTAAGTATTTTATTTTTATAGAGGCCATTAAAATGGCATTGTTCTCCTGATTTCCTTTTCATTGTTCTTTTTACTGGCGTATAGGAATCCAACTGATTTTTGTATGTTTATCTTGTATCTGCTACTCTGCTGAAACTTTCTATTAGTTCCAGTAGTTTTCTGGTGAAGTCTTTTAGGTTTTCTATGTATAGTATTATATCATCCACAAATAGGGACATTTTTACTTCTTCATTACCAATTTGGATATCCTTTATTTCTTTTTCTTGCCTTATTGCTCTAGCTATGATTTCTAGCACAATGTTAAACAGAAATGGTGATAAACTGCATCCTTGTCTTGTTCTCATTCTCAAGAGGAATGTTTTCAGCCTCTCTCTCCATTAAGAATGATGTTGGCTGTTGGTTTTGTACAGATGTCCTTTATTATGTTGAGGACCTTCCCTTCTATGCCTATTTTATTGAGAGTTTTTATCAGGAATGGGTGTTGGACTTTGTCAAATGCCTTTTCTGCATCGATTGAGATGATCACGTGATTCTTTTCTTTCCTTTTATTTATGTGGTGGATTACATTGTTCAATTTTCTAATGTTGAACTGTCCTTGCATACCTGGTATGAATCCCACCTAGTCATAGTGATTATTTTTTTGATATGATGCTGAATTGTATTGTCTAGAATTTTGTTGAGAATTTTTGCATCTATATTCATGAGAGATATTGG